AGTTTGGTTTTAAGCCTGGGTTTGGTACAAGAGACGCAATTTTTGGATTACATAGTTTAATTATCAATTCGATAGAACGAAACAAGAGGCTTTATTGCGCTTTTATTGATTATAGTAAGGCATTTGATAGTGTGACACACCAGAATTTGTGGTATAAACTTTGGAGAAGTGGTATTAGGGGTAGACTACTTAAGGTAATTAAATCAATTTATGATAATGTACGTTCATGTGTGAAATTACATGGTAAATTATCCGCCATGTTTGATCTACATGTCGGATTATTACAAGGGGAATCGTTATCTCCCATACTTTTTTCATTATTTGTAAATGATATGGAAAGTGAATTTATAAATTCTAATTGTCAAAGTTATGAATTACAGTTATTAAACCTGTTTATGCTAATGTATGCGGATGACACAGTTTTATTCTCGGAGGATGCTACCGATCTTCAGCATATGCTAGATCGTTTACAGACATACACTGAAAAATGGAGTTTAAATGTTAATATAGAAAAAACTAAAATTATTGTTTTTAGAAAAAGAAAAAGAATGTTACCTTATGAAATTTGGACTTTCAATGGTAAATCTATCGAAATTGTTGATAAGTTTTGTTATCTTGGATTAGTTTTTAACTATAATGGAAGATTTACTGTAACACAAGATACATTAGCTTGTCAAGGACGGAAAGCATATTACCACTTAAAAAGAAAAATGAAAGATTTTGCCCTTAATACGGAAACTATAATGTCTTTATTCGATACATATGTTGCATGTATATTGAATTATGGGTGTGAAGTTTGGGGGCATAATGTATCGCCACAAATTGAAAAAATCCATCTCCTTTTTCTCAAAGGCCTATTAAATGTTAAGAAAACTGTCAATACTTCTATGGTTTACTTTGAAACTGGGAGATATTCATTATATGTGCAACGTAAAATGGCCATAATGAGATATTGGTTAAAAAATTTAAATACTAGTAACTGTGTTTTAAAATCATGTTACGACGCATTAGTCGAATTGAATATCAGAAAACCTAATTGTAAAATTAATTGGGTTTATCAAATTAAGCATGAACTATGTAGTTTGGGTTTTAATTATATTTGGACTTGTCAATATGTACAAAATGAAAATCTTTTTTTGCAAATGTATGCTCAACGTGTTCATGATGTATTTATCCAAGAATTACGCAGTGCTTTTGATGCATCTTCAAAATGTTATTTGTACAAGCATCTTGTTGATACCTTTTGCGTCCAGTTCTATCTGACTAAGCCCATTAATATAAGGATAAAAAAGTTATTGAGTCAATTTCGCATGCAAGCACACAGTCTTAACATAGAATCTGGGCGCTATAATAACATTCCAAGAGGTCAGAGAATATGTACAGTCTGCGATAAAAATGATATCGAAGATGAAGTACATTTTGTACTACTTTGTCCTGCATATTCTGATTTAAGAAAAACATACATCAAACAGTATTATTATCGACATCCAAGTGTCTATAAACTAATAGAATTATTTACCTGTAAAAGTGTTAAATCTTTAAATAGACTGGGTAAATATTTGTGGCACGCTACTTCTAAAAGGAAAATTCTCCTCGCTCAGTAGTGATATTATATTAAAACATTATTTGAAACTACTTTGTTATAAGTGTACATGTATAATAATAGTTATTTAAGATTCGTTAATAGCGCGTTAAATAGTACTTTAATGACATCCCATGGTTCTTTCTGGCTGTTTGAAGTTATGTGTAGTGTTTTCATTATGATGTCATCCTTTCATGTCGTCACATATATACAGGTAGTAAAGTCACACATATGATTATATTGTTATATACTTCTCACAACTTTACGAAAAATCATGCTGTAAAACTGCAAGTGATATCATTATTACATGTCTGTAGGCATATATATATTTGAATGGAATTGTCCTCCGCCATCTTGTACATCACATATGAATTTTGAATATTTAATTATGTATGTTTGTAACCTATATGCTGTATTGCATTTGGATATAATAAAACTTGTTTGAACTTGTAGTTCGGATATCTATATAATTATGCCTAAGGGTGTTGCCCAAATAAGGAGTCCACTACTTATACTCTAAACAATATGGGGAATAATCCTCCATTGTCTATATATTAGTAGGGTCTCCAGTCAGGTCAGTGGTCAAGGCTCACCGGACTGACTCTACCTAATCTTATTGTTCTCAGGTCACGGTGTGGTGATCACCCTGTCATGGATTTAGGTATATAGGTAAAGTGTTATTTCAAAGGTATACCTGCATTTTCACCAGTGGTTTCAAGTACACATGGTCACCAGGAGTGATTTATTATACCAATTAAAAAATATAAAATTTCAAAGACAATGAAGCATCCTCCTTATAGCATCACTTCATCAGGTGACCAATAACCATTGTTAGCATAAAAAGACGTGTACATCCTTTATATGTATGCATACTATTTCACAATAAAGGACAAACAGTTTAATCATAAGTCATATTCATGACAAAATGAATTAATAATTAAATTGCGAACATGCTTGCCTAAATTACATGTAGATTCGCGCGTATTATCAGCTGAACTGCAGAAAAAGCCCCCCCCCCCCCCCCCCCCCC